CCCCAAACCCCCAAAACCCCAAAACCCCAAAACCCCTTGAAATTATTTTGAGTTTGAAGATGATTTTTTTAATAAAATGATGTTGGAGATTTATTTGAGGGTTTTGGAGTTGAGTTTTATTTTTCTTTTGGGATTGTAGTTGGCCTTTAGCATCTCAACTGTTTTTCCTGGAAAGTAGTACAAAATTGATCCATAATCAATGAAACCCTTTTTCCTCTGTTGATTCACGAGTTTGGATAGTAGTTTGGTGTCTCTGATTGAGAAAGACTTCACCATGATAAGCTTCCTAATTCGAGTCAGGAGTTGGAGTTTTCTACTCCTTCTCCACTTGATCCCAACTATAAGTTGTTCAAGAATCTTCATAAGCTTCTCTGACAAAGGAAAGTCAGTTCCTTCGAACTCTGAAAGAGTGGTCTGGGATTCTTTACAAAGTGTATTCAGTGCAAGAAACATCTCTATAAATATTCGTTTAAATTTGTTAAGAGAGGAAGTTTGAACATCATAACGAATGATTTTTGTCAAAACTTAATGATTAACTAGGCTTCTTTATGAGGAAACCTAAATTTGGAACAAAATATTTGTCTGTCAAGGTGAATTTGATTTTATTAATACTTGAGGTTAAGGTTACACGAGTTAATTTTTAATTTTTAAGCAAAATACTTCAGGAGCTTACCTCTATCATGTTTATTTACAAAACCTCTTTCTGTCGTCAAAGGACTCAGCTTTCTGGATGTTCTTGATGTTCTTTGATTTCCTCTGATATTTTGTCTTACACTTTCTTTGACTCTTCCTTTTATTAATTTTCTTCTGATTAGTGATCGTATCTTCAACTGGGCATGGGAACAGAGATTCATTCTTTTGTAAATCTTTCAAGAGCTCCTGTGTGCTAAAGGAAAAGCGACTCTTCTCAGAAGATGCTTCATCTTCAAAGAATTTATCTTGAGAAGGGGAGGCACCAAATAGCTGATCGAAAGGATCTATTCCACTTCATTTCTTCTGAACAACCTCGTTAGGGTCGAGGTCACAGATTGAGGGGAAGTCGTTTAACATTTTAAAGTCTCCCTTGGCAGTCTCTGGTGCATCGATGAGTGAGAGTAGTTCAAAGCTAAGGGATGGCTCTTCAAACAAAGTGCTGTTATCATACAACATTTGGTATTAGTTTGTATTTAAAATAATTATTAAAGTCATAATTTCTCTCTTTTTATAGTATTCGCATGGGCAGATAAAAATTAGATTTGTGCCAAATTTTGTCGATGTATCCAACTAGATGGTTAAGTCTTGTTAATGAATGTGGCAGAATTTAGGAGCAAATCTTGATAAATTTTAGCACATAATCTTCTTTTCCTATAAGATTTGTCATCGGTCTGAATTTTAAAGTGACTATTCTTCCATTTTCGGGTATAACTTATGAAGAAGATATTAAATTTTTTGGGTTAAAGATCTCTTTTTGATCTTTTTACAACAAATTTATGAAAATAACCTGTAGCATCATCATTACGTTAAGATTCCTTTACTTCAAAAGCAAATTCTCAAATAACCGTTTTAAAATGGCTGATTTTGAGTAAAGGATGGTGGCGTTCCCAATTTAAATTTGAAATTTAATTCTATGAACAAGAATCTTTATATATATTTGCTCAAGAGTTCCTCTTACATTTTGATCTTATCTTCATGTTTGTCCGGATCAAATGTTCTTGCCTCTCATAAGACCTCTCTTTAAGCCAAAAAAGTTATGAAATATACTTTAAATTGCAAACGAATTGCTGACATAATCCCGTTTTCATCAGCTTGAAACATAAAAAATTCCATAAATTATGAGTATCTTTTACACAGAAATGGATCATACCTTCTTTCGTCTGCATCGAGTAGCCATCTGTTTAGAGTATTATTTCCATTCTCACTAAGACTAGACTATTTTAGAGGGCAGACTTTCAAAGAAGCTCCATATCAATGACTAAATTTGGGATCATAACGAATAAGTTCGTCAGAGAGTATCTATAAATCAGTGTTGCAGGAGATCAGAAAGAAAATCTGAAAATTTGAGAATTATTTCTATCCTGTGCCATCACTATTTCCAGCTCAGATATAACCAAGGCATTTTATTTTATAATAACATCAATAATGCTGATTGGATCTGGCCTTATAAGTTACAATATTTGACATCACTTTTCGTTTGATCTTAAGCTAAAAGGTGACTTTAATGAAATGAAAAAGAACTTAGACCAAAACAAGGAAGAGCCTTTAGATAGCATAAGGATGGTGAGGAGGCTAGCCGGTATCTTCATGATGACAAGATTTCAACATCTTCATTGAAGTATCTTAACTTCTATTCGCTTGCCTATGACTTTACCCAAAATGATACTATCTAATAATGCTTGTGTACTCCAGGTAATGGAGCTTGCTTTCTTCTAAATTTTGGAGATTTAAGAATGAAAGCGATTTCTGGTCGTCTAAAAATCTCAGAAATTGTATTTCTTAAGCAAATATTAAAACACGCAGATGGTCCTGTAATCTAAATTATGGTCTAGAAGAGGTGATTTTGGATCCTCTACTTATCCGATAGCATCATAAACGGCCAAAATGAGTGTGAGAGGAAATAAACACTTTAAGTAAATGAAATGTCATATTCTAGCTTCACTTACTTGACTTGAAAGATATTTCAATTTTAGAATAACCTTCTTTCTCAATATAAGCTAAATTATGTCAGACTATAGAGCTTCTTCCTGCAGTTAATTATTGTCTGACCCTCTCTACCTCTCACAGACTAGCATAGCTTCAGAAAGACATATGTCGAGATCCAAGTGAAAGTTGATTACTTTAAGATGTAAGCGGATAACTTGTGGTACTCAAAAATCTGTAAATTATTAACTTCTGGACCTTCGTGACTTATCCTAGAGTCTTATGAAGACCGGTTCTTTTGAGATCTTTCTCGGAGCAGACATCTTGAAACAATGCTCCGTATATGAACTTGAAACAAGTTTTACTAGTAATCCAAGAGGTTCAATGAGCAAATGCGTGCACGGGGTTTTGGGGTTTTGGGGTTTTGGGGTTTTGGGGTTTTGGGG